TACAAGCATTTCACCCCCATGTCATACTGTGTATGGTTGTGTGTGTGTGTGACAAATACATTTGAATTTGTAATTATCAGTAGTGAAACATCAGAAGAAAAATGTTCGTTTTGATGAGATTTATTCAGCCAAACTGCAGCTGAAATTAACAGAAACTGTAACAAAACATCTTTATTGTTTTGATCCTCGATGGCATAGGAAACAAAGTAATAAAGTAATAATAAAAAAGTAAAAGAGTAAATGATTATGATAATATATACTTGGTGGACTCTTTATTAGGTACACCCTCTCTTGTCTTCAGAGCTAAATTCACTCCTCAGAGGTTTTGGTCCATCTCGACATGATATGAATACCCCATTCTAACACATCCCAAAGGTGACTGCAGAGGCTATTTGAGTTCAGTTCAAGTTCAAGAAACCGATTTGTGATGATCTGAGCTTTTTTGACATTGTGTGTTATTTTCCTGTAAACAGCCATCAGATGATCGTCACACCGTGGTTATAAAGGTATGGACATGATCAGCAACTCCCAAACCACTAAAACTTTGATCCGGGGCAGGGTAGCAGAAATGGAGACTCATCAGAACAGGAAACGTTTTTGGTGAGCATGCCTAAACTGTCGCCTCTTGACCCATTGTGCGTTCACAAATGCCACACTCAAAGTCACTTGAACACCTTTCTTCCTCATTCTGATGCTCAGTTTGAGCTCCAGCAGACCATCTTTATATTCCTAACTTCAATGAGTTGCTGCAATGTGATTGGCTGATTAGGTATTTGTGTCAAAGAGGAAGTTGAACAGGTGTACCTAACAAACTGGTCATGACAGTGTTCCAGGTATTGGCAGCTGTATTCAGTATCAAAAAACAAACAAATAAAAAAAACCCAAAACCCAGCAGAGTGGGATAAAGCTGTCATTACATCTCATTTAAATGGTAATTCCTTAATTATGAGACACACACACTTCATAAATAAATCTCAAGGCAGCCTATTTACTGTCAACACTACTGACAGATTACCTTTGACTGTGGTTATAGCCCTGAAGACAAAACTGCGTGGCACCGCTAATGAGTGTTTTTCTGCTCCTGCACGTCTCACCTCCTAAGAGCAGCTCTGCGTTTATCACGCCATGTTGCAAGCGAACACGGCGGGGGCATTTTGAATTTAAATTTCAGTTAAAGTCTCCGGAAGGACTTAATTACATAAACCGGCGTAATAACACTGGAGGGGCCCTAAATGAATTCACAGATTATCAAGCTTTAGAATGAACTTCAGATTTTAATTACAAGACTTTTGTCACACAGATCCGGTGAACAGGAAAGCATACACAAATCAAAGTAGTGTTTTTACTGCATAAGGTAACATGAGGGTGAGTGAATCTCCAAGGCTATGGAGCATCGGGTTACTGGGTTGAAGGAGGGGGTCATTTCAGGAAGGGACTTATCAGCAAACAAATTCTCAACAGCCAACTAGATGAAATGATGCTTGCACCTCAAGAATATTTCAAGGATAAAAGATCTGATGTCTCAACAGGACCTGGAAAAACTAGTCCATGCATTCATCTTTAGTAGGCTTGATTACTG